TAGTTTGTTTGCATATAGTTGTTCCTAGTATTCTGGGGATTTTTTTGTATTTCTTTGGTACTGCTCAGGCAGCCAGTCCCAGCCCACCCTTTGTGCTGGTTTCTCTTGGTTCTGTCAGCCAAGGGGCTGCTGTACACGTCTGAGCCTCGGAGGTTCTCCCTCCATCCCCACTGACCTCTGTTGGAGAGGAGGCGTCCCAGTGCAAAAGTGCTATTCCTTCTTTGCTGCTCTCCCCCTGTGGGACAGGTCCCACGCTAATTCCTTTCTTCTTTTCTTTTTTCTCCTACCAGATTGTGAGGAATTTTGTCTTTTGAAGTAGGTGATGTTCTGTCAAAGTTCAGCAAGTGTTCTGAGTGAATGGGTGGGTCTGTGGATGTCTCTCTTGGTGTGATCATGGGAGAGGATGAGCTAAGAGCCTCCATCTAGCCCGCCTTCTTGGCACCCTCTCCCAACTATTGTTTAAATCAGAGGAAGTTCAAAATGTGTTTTGTTCAGAATATTGCCCCAAATTGTTCATTTCAGAAAACTTACCAATGGTTAACACATACTTAGTAGAATCTGAGTTGCTAATTCAGCACACTTTTTCTGCATGCGTAGCTATTGCATTCAAGGTAATTGTGTATAGATGTAAACATCCGACTTCATTTTATCTTCTAATACAGTTGTGCCCAAGCATTTACATACTTAAATACATGTTATTTTATGACAAAATACCTTCTTTATATTTCTCCCCATTTATACTACAGTTAAGACATGCTTAGGTAGGTTATATTATCAATGAATTTCATTCAGGATAGTAAAGGGCGGAGTTTACAGTATTTGCTATAGAAAAAGTGCTGGATCTGCTAGGGTTGAGAACCATCAGTTAAAGGTTCAGAGATCACATGAAAGCAGAACTTGGAACTCCACCCATGTCAGGATACCTGAACACTTTTTTTCAACCCCAAACCACGTCCCCGAGACACACCCTCTTTTGCCTTCCAAGTGAGACAGCAAACACTGTATGGGCCCTTGGAGCCATTCTGAGCCATTCTGTGCCAATATCCGTTTTCTAGATTGGGATGAGAGCGAGCTGTGGTTATAGGAAGAGGATGAAATCCCTAGGGTTAAAATGTACTGTATTTTAAAGATACATAAAAGTTAGATTCTACAAAAAAAAATAGTTTACACACACACACATATATATGTGTGTGTATATCATGTTCTGATCACATGTCTGAAGATTCTTAGAGCCACATTTTTTAAAAAGAAAGAGAAAAGGAGGAAGAATTAGCACCTTTTGGAATCTGTCTTATTATTTTATTAAGGAATCCACTTCTATGACTGTCATGCCCAGGCTGAGTTAATAGTCACGAATTCTGGAGGTAACTACACCCCAGTTTGGACTTTCTGGTTATAACCACTGTGTTCTACCTCAGTTGAAAACCCAGACTCAAGAGGCGTCAATCCATGCCCTCCTATTCCCAGAAGATGCCAAAGCCAACTATGTAAGAGGCTTTTTCAGGGAAGATGATTACTTTTGTCCTCTTAAAAGACAAACCTTCTACTTTGCTTCATGAAGCATATGGCAACCCAAACCATGGACAGGTTGGGATCTGTGCAGGCCTCAGTAGAGATGCGGAAAAGGAGAAAGGGGGACTCAAAAATGAATAGATCTTCTCCCACTTAACAAGTAGGCTAGGGTGGAAGGATAGGAAAACTTTATGGTTCAAATCCTGCCAGACCCAAAGCCAATACCAATGAAGAGAGTTCCAGCTTCACCCTGGGAATTTTCAAGGTCTCTGCTCTGCAAAGGCCTTGGGTGGGTGGAAAGCCTGAGCCACCCATATTGCCCACCCTGCTTCTCTCCTTGCTTTTCTAAGGAGTACAGCAGAATTTTCTGTATGCACACCTAGGGTTCCAATGGAAAAAATCTATTCACAGTTGACATGGAAGGGCCATAGGCAATGCGCCAGGGATATGAGCAAGCCCTGATCTGGCTTTAGCGAGGCTTCACTCCACCCATTGTCAGGATACCCAGTGGTGTCTTACTTCATACTGAATAGGAAAATGTTAAGATTCACCTAATAGTTGGGCCAAGGGGCAATGAGCATTCTTTCCATCACTGGAAACACCTACACAGAATCTAAACAGTTGGCAACTGGAGAGGGAAGCTGAGCTAGAACAATGATTAGATATCTTCTAAGACCAGTCATACAGCTCAGGCCAGAGAACTGAATTTCAGGGAAGGTCAGTGACCCACACTGAAGCTAAACTCCTAATTAAGTACTCAGTTCCCTGCATGAAGGTGTTTCATTCCTGATTGGCCTGTCTCAGCCCACCCGCCCTGGAGAAAGAACTCTAGATAATGAAGCCAAGAAACACATAGGGCTCTAGGCCCAAACAACTATACTGTTTATTGAGAACACCCGTAGATGGTGGAAAGGAAGGATGCCCTGTACCGCATCGTGGCCACCACTGACTGGGAGCCGGGCCTGGAGAACACTGCAGAGCTGGGGTGGGCTTCCCGTGACTCACTGACCTTCACAAAGGTGAGAGGAACAAGAGAAGGCCAGGCTCAAGAGCCTGGTACTGTGCTGCAAGTGGGGACTGATTGGCCTTTGCCTTTCAAAAACGGGGTTAGGGGAGGGGGACTACTAGAAAAAAATAGAACCTCTAAGATTAAAAAAAAAAAATAGTCCTGTACATACCAAGACAGCATCTGCTCTCCAGGGCCCAAGACTGGCAGCAGGGGCCTTAGGCAGGCAGGCCGGCCAGGAGCCCCCAGGGGAAGATCAGTGGTTCGGCTGAGACAGTCAGCTGCACATAATTGGCCAGTCACCAGCACCCAGCAAAACTTCATCCATGCTCGGGCAGGGCAGGAAAGCACCCAGCCCCTTGGGAATATACAAATATTTACCAGGTTCTCTTTGCTCGTTACAAAAACAGATAAGAAAAGCTTACAGCAGATTATTTACAAACAGTATCCTGGGATATTGTGAAGGCAGAGGTGGGCTGGCTTGGAGGGTAGGGTCTGTGGGGGCAGAGCAGCCACAGCAGCCCAGAATGTCCAAGGCTGGGCCCCCTCCCCAGGCTCCAGGCCTCAGGCCCTGCAAAGGCACTGGACTCTGTTACTGGGAAAGGGGCTTAATTCTTCTTGTGGAGGAACTTCATTTTGTTGCCTGTGGGCCAGAGAGGGCAAGAGTGAGAATGTTTCAGTCATCTCTTCCAACAGCCCTGTCTCTCTTAGTGGGAGAGAAGATTTAGAAAGGCTGGATACAGCCAGACCCAGGATAGTGAAAACACTCTAGAGCTTTAATTAGGGCACTGGTATTAATCATGTGTGGCTTTGGGCAAGACATTTAACTTCTTTGGTCTCAACTTTCCTTTAAAGTGAGACACGCTATGGTTCTAAGATTTAGCTGGCTGAGCTCTTTGAAGGGAATGGAAGTTTTTCAGATAAGGGCACTCAGATGCTGCTACCCCTTACAGCCTAGAGGAAAGCTCATGGTCTGAATGGCCCTCATACTCACTCAGGAAGAAATGCACCCAAAAAAGTTCTGACTTATGTAAGGGTCTATGAGACCTCTTCCTATTCTGTCTACAACCAATATAAATACCCATTGGCATTGGTTTAGAGTAGTTCTGGATACAAATCCCCCAGCCTCTCCCTTCTTGCTGAACACCTGTCTCATCAGTGACAAGGCTACTTACCCAAACCGCGGAGAAACTTATTCATTCCACTCTGCTCAGTGTCTGGAAGTTCCTCTAAGTACTGCTCCACTCTCTGCTCAAAGAGGCCTGGGGAAACAGGAACAGGGAAGAGAACAGTCACTGGAGGAAGGGAAGGGGAGGTGGCCTGGAGCAGGGGGTGGACCAAGGGGCACGGATCCCAAAAAGGGAGAAACCATAGATCTGCAATTATTATAACTTATAGGAGCATCTTATCAGCATTCAGACTGGCTCATCAAAAGTATCCTTAATGACATCTCATTGGTGTCCACTGCTGATAACAAGTGGCCCTCAATACCTTGCCTCCCAGTGCACATTCCTGAGCTGCATTATAGTGAGGATGCCATTCCTCCTATCAGAGCTGCCCCGAAGTGGACACCTTCTCTAGTTCCTTTTAGACCACTCTACCATGTTGTTTCAAAAGGTTTGTTACACTAAATGGACAGTATTAGTGGACAGAAGAAATAATAACCCCGAGGTTAGACAGAAAGGTGCTGATGAGATGGAAAAGACTTAAAGTGAGCAAAGCTGATGAAATAACAGATGAGATGACCTGCTCTGAATGCAGACTGCCAGCAACCTAAGACAGAGCTAGGGCTTTCTCTCAGCCCCTAGGTTCTCAGAACTCCCTAAATTGTGCAGTCTAGTCTTTTTCTCTGAATAAGGACATGCGAAGGGGGGGTAGGTAGAGGTCAGCCCCACTCTTGCCACATGGCTCCAGCCTGTGCCCAGCCTTGTGAAGGTACTTACTGGGGCAGGACACACTGGCCTTGGTTGTCTCTATCAGAAGAAAAGGGATATTAGGAGGTCTGTCCTGGTTGATACCCAAAAGCTTCCTGATGGATACTCGGTGCCTGGCTACTCTGCCGGTAGCAGAAAAGTTAGAGGAAGACACCTTCTAGCCCTCCAGAGCCCCCCACCCCAGGCTCTTCTGGCCTTACCCTTTGCCCGACACTTTCTTAGCTCCCTGTCTTGGATGAAGCCAGCAAACATCTGAGACTCCATAAAAACTTCAAGAAAACGGCGGATGCTTTTTGAGGCCACAGACTTGCGGAAAGCCTCTCGCTGAAAGGCTCTCTCCCCCTTTTCACTCTGGGTCAGGAAGAGAGAGTAGTGCCCAACAGTCTCCACAAAGAACCGGATAAACACCTCTGACACCAGCCCATTGAGGGTATTACATTCTGGAAAAGAAAAGAAAATCTCTGAGGTTCAGGTCAAGAGCCTGCAATCCCAACCTCCAGCTGGTGGTGTTTCCCTCTCCCCAACAAAACTCCAGCCAGAACCACTTATCTGTTCTTGAACTTTTCACTCTTGTACTCCTGGGCTTGTCGCTAGCCCACGAGCCAAGAGGGAAACTGCTCTGAACATGGACGCTGGCAAATACTTGCTAGATGAGTGAGAATGGAGATCAGAGACCAGAGCACCGCCTTCCCCACCCCCCTCACCTTGGGTGGTTTTCCTGGTTTCCCAGGAAGGGGAAGTTCCCTCCATCTCCTGCAGTGGCTCAAGGCAAGGCTGGGGAGGGAGGAATAACTAGTGTCCTGTCAGCAAGAAGAGTCTTTATGGTTGCCAATTTCCTGTGGGTTTTTATTCCCAAACCTCCTGAGGTAGAGAAGCGTCAGAGGCAAGAGTGTAGCTTTGCAGTCTGGGCCACCCTGAGCAGCCCCAGTGTTGTTTAAGTTTCTGAACTCCCTCTGATTAAATACCACAACACTTCTCTCCCTTCAGACCCAGTCAAGCTGTAACTCCCTGGACCCCACTGGTAGCTGGGCTAGAGAATTCTAGGCTAAAGTGAGACCAAGGTCCTGCACCTGGAGTTTCATCAGTCAGAAGGGTCTGGTGCATGGACACAGGGTCCAGGCTGTCTGAAGCCCGACCCAGAGCAGAGGGAGCCTGGGACCAGGTCACTTACCATCGTCGGAATCGCTGTCAGAGTCCTGGGAGATCAGCTCGCTCTTCCTCTCTAGAGCCTGCTCCAGAGCCGCCTGTAGCTTCCTAGGTAACAGCGTGTCCTCATCATCCATCTGCAGAGAGAAGACGCAGTGACACTGACTGAGCACGCACTTTGTTCCAGCCCTGTTGTAAGAGCTTAAATAATAATTTCATTTCATTCTCCCAATAACCTTGATACTGTATTATCAACCTCATTTTAAGATGAGGAGCTGAGGCAGAGAGAGAGTTTAAAGAAACTTGTCCAAGGTCACAGAGATAAAAAGTGGTGGAGTGGTGGCATTCACTGCCCAGAGCCAATAGGGATTCCTACTCCAGCACCAGGATGCAGTCTCCCGAGTTCCTCCATCCTCAGCTCCTGGTGGGAAGCACAGCTGGCTGGGGACAGGGAGACTGTGGCCCAGCCTGTGTCTCAGATACGAGGTTGGCTATTTCTGTTTGTATTCTGGTTGAGTGTCTGTACCTTGACACTCTGTACCCAGGGGTCGTAGCTCTGTCAGTGGTGTGTAACAGACTACATTCCCAGAGGGTATAGCATTGGGTTGTGTTCCTTTATAGAGAGCCAGGAGGGTTTCCATCACTAACAGGCTTTTTGAAGTTGACAATGATCGCAGACTTTTACATTCCATAGCGTTCTGTGCGTCATGTGAAATCCTCCCGCAACACTTCAAGGCAGGTGTTATCACCGTGCTTGTTTTACAGATGAGAACTCTGGCTCAGAGAAGTTCAGAGGCCTATCCAAGATCATGTATCTCAAAGGTGGCAGAGGGCAGAGGTCAAGTCTTCTGACTTCCAGGCCATGTTCCTCCCACTCCCACACTGCCTTCCAGAAGCTGATGATGCCAGCCAGAATGGCAGATCCTGCTAAGGTGTCAGGACTTTTCAGAGCAGCTTCTCCCCACCACTGTCTATGCTGTGAATGTGGAACCCAGAGAGCTCAACAATCGGGCTGTGAAGGTGGAGCAGTGTGTATGACGGTGTCGGCTGCTCTGCATCAAACAAGCACCCACCCTAGGGCAGGCTGTGTTCTGCAGTGTCCCGCTCTTACCTGTCGGATGAATCGGTCAGACCCCAGATTCACCATCAGTGCCTGAGAAAAAGAGCCATGGGGGGCAGTGATTCAGGGTATGAATCCTTGCAGTGCCCTCCCCAGACCTCCAGGCCTCCTGGATTCCCGGGTCAGATAACAGTTCCTAACTCCAGCCAGGGACAGACCTCCCAAGGAGAAAGGAAAAGAGCTGGGTACAGAGGCGCAGAGGCCACAAATGAGAAGGCCCCAGAAGACTTTCTCCTCTCTCCTTTCCCCCTCCCACCCTTCCCTCCCTGGGGGTTCTGTTCCTTCTGTCTTCCTTTCTCCACCCTTCCCCCCAGCTGGTTCCCCATGTGGCCCACCTCCTCCACAGGCAGCTCCTTCAGTTTGGGGAGGGAGCTGGAGAGCAAGCCAACCAGGAAAGGGGTGGGACAGCAGACGATGTCGATCATGGAGGCCGGGAGAACAGGAATGAAGGTGTGCTGCCAGGAGAAGGGGTAGAGCAAGGCCACCACCGCATGGGAGCAGCTGGATAGGGTACTGGTAGACAGACAGACAAAGCACTGAGCCCAGGCCAGGCACCTTCAGGGAAGGGGAGTTAGAGCCGGCTGGGACAGGCTCAGGACATCCTTTCATATTAAAATACCCACCTCCCAGTGCAACAAAATTGCTAAGGGGGCTCGGGCCTGGGTCTGACCCTGCAGATTGGTGAAGCTCCCACATTCCCACTGCTCATGGTCTCAAGGACAGTGGTGCTACCCTCTTCGGTAACTCTCTAGAACCAGCCATGAGGGTACATAGTAACGCTTGAACACACACACCTACTCACCCACCAAATACACAAGTGGTCCTGATCTCGTGTGGGAGCATCAGCTCAGGCCAGGGAGTAAAAGGCAAGCTGAGCAAGGTCTGATCACAGATTCATACTGTGTAAGAGCTGGAAGCTCCTACAGCAGTCACCTTATCTATTCCACATTTTACATCTGGGGCCGCTGATACCCAGGCTCAGGCTGGTCATAAATGGCAGACTTGGGACATAGTTTTCCTGTCTCCCAGCCCAGTGTTACTTCTCCCGCTCTGCCCTCAGTCCATTCCTTCCTCTCCTGACTGGAAAAAGTGGTTTGACTGAGGACCACTGACTGAGGTGAGGCTGGCACCATTCTTGCCCAGTGCCGTCTTTCCTCAGGATCCAAAAAACAGCCACAGGTTTCTTTGGGATCATCCCTCCCTTGGCCTAGAGGGGGCTCCCAGCCTCCAGCACTACAGGGCTCGCTGTCCAAGCAGAATGACTGAAGCGAGCCCGGAAGGAAAGCTCCAGGGTGCTAGCTAAACGGCACAGGAGTGAGTGCTGAGGGCCAGTACTGAACACCAGTCAACACGGGGGGCACACCAGGCCTGAACCATCTGTCTGTCAGAAGCCGGGTCAAAAGCACTCCCCTAGGGACCGTGTTAGAGAAGAGGAAACGGGCCCAGAGTTATGGTGCCAAGTCCATGACAGAAATAAACCCTCTTTTCCAGAAGGATCTCTGGATGTTCACAAGTGTTTGGACAGCCAGTGCCTTGCTTGCCTGACCTCCCACCCTATGGATAACTAAAACACTGCTGGGCCTTGAGGCAGAGACAGGTATCCTGGCCCTGCCAGCCCTTCCCCTGGGGACAGCAGCTCTCCACACCTCAGGGACAGCCATCTAAAAAAGATCTGGAAAAGGGCTGTCTCAGGGTCAAAGGAAACACTGATCTCCTCAGTGTCCTCCAAGGGACCTGAGGCTTGGAGGCAGATGCCTCATACAACCCTAGGGCTGATCACTGCAGAGCCAGTGTGTGCACACATGCACCCCTCCCACTTACACAGACATCAAAACTAGGCTAGAGGGACAAAGGACTTGTGGAAAACCTAAAATGTGAGCAACAGTACATGGCTGGCTGGACTTACTGAGCCCCGACCCCAGCCCAGGCCTGTGTGCCCTCACTGCGCCGCTGCTCTGCCCCTCCAGTCAGAGGCGGACCTCAAGCAGGGAGGACATCATTTCTAAGACCCAAGATTGGCAAGACCTGAATGCCGGCCAGGCCAGAACAGGGCCCTGGGGTGCCTTCTCCCAGAACGGTCCTGGAATGTGTTCAGAGGCAGTGGGAGCCACAGGAAACAATCGCTGTGTTCACAGCCCTGCTGGAGCCAGGCTGAGGGTGGGGTGGCAAAGAGGAGGCTCTGCCCGGGTGAGGGAGTGGAACCTTCAGAAAAAGAAAGCTCAGGGTCCGTGCTCTGCCAGGGGCATCAAGGTGTGACCAGTCCAGAGCCTCACAGCCAGGGCTTGGCTGGTGGACAGTGAACACAGACAGCAGAAAGGCACAGACGGCCCCAAGGGGCTGCTGTACCTGGCTAGTTGCAGCTGCTGGCTGGGTCCCTTCATGAGGCCTGCAGGCCCAGGACATACAGAAACACTGAGGGTGTAAAGGGAAGTGAGGGGCAATCTTCATTTCTAAACCTGGCTCTCTCTCGAAAAGTCAGAAGCTCTGGTTTTTCCTCCTTCTCCTGGGCTGAAAGTGGGCCTGAGTTCCTGCCCCAACGCACTAGGAGGACATTTGGGCATCCATTTCTCCTGTTCCCTCATGACCCCCTCATACATGCAGAATGACCCCAGGGACCCTGGCTTACTGGGGAACAAACCAGGAAGGATTTTTCTTTTCTGCCCCTCATGCCAGCATCTGGCATATGGTGTGGCACATAGCAGACAGTTTAATAAATGTCTCAGGACTAAATTAATTCCACCACTCTAAAGAAACCACTGTCCCCTGTGGTAGGTTCTTTGACAAAAAATATACAATGTATTGCCTAGATCTCTTCTCCCTGCCTGTCCCACCCCCTATATATATACTCTTTCCTATGGTCTGAATGTCTGTGTCCCCCAAATTCTTTGTTGAAATACTAACCCCCCAAATACGATATTAGGAGGTGGGGCCTTTGGGAGGTGCTTAGGTCATGAAAGTGGAGCCGTCATGAATGGGATCAGTAAAAAGATCATAAAAGAGACCCCCCCAGAGATCCCACACCCCACTTCCACCATGCGAGGATACAATGAGAAGGCAACAGCTATGAACTTGGAAAAGGGCCCTGAAGAGAATGTGACCATGCCGGCACCTTGATCTTGGACTTACAGCCTCCACAGCTATGAGAAATAAACTTCTGTTGTTTATAAGCCATCAAGTCTGTGTTATTTTGCTATACAGCTCAAATGGACTAAGACACTCTTTTTTAAAAAAGCCTGGCTGCCTAGAAGAGCTTGGCTTCTTCCAGAACTCCTCATGTATGTCCAGTGACATTTCTGTCACCTCTCCCTTGGCCACAACCAGATCTTGGCATCTGGAACTTGTCTGCCTCTAAATGCCAACACTTCAAACCAAGACTTCTGATCTATCCAGCTCTTTTCTTATTTCTCCTAAACCAGCTCCCTTGCCTCAGTGGCACCTCCAGTCCCTGGACTTCTTTTCCCCTTTCCTAATTTGGCCAGCCTTCCTACAACCACTCTCCTCCCCAGCGCTCTCAATTCCCGGAACTCGTCCCCCGCACATCCCCAGGTGCCTGGTCCTGGGTGACTCCAGTCATTTGCATTCTCCAGGTGAGACCCTCACTGGCCTCACTGGATGGCTCAGCACTCCCTGTACTATCCCTAGTCAGTGCCCTTGCCCCTTCCTCACCGTGGCTCTTCCTGGAGTCCATCATGCTTAGAACTCAGCATCCCGCAAAGATGGCCTTGCCTCCCCCTCCAGAGGGAATGTGGCCCTCAGCTGAAAAGTTCCCTTACTTTCTTACCTTTCCATACAAATACACCTGTACCTAGACCGTCTTGGCTGTTGGCAAAAGAAGTGTATATCTTCTTCCTTCCAGCTAAGTCCTCCACTGGCTTCACAATCCTGCCATCTTGGGTGTTCCCAAGCCCCACTCCCTCAGTCATCCTCTGCCCAGGTTTGCTAACCTTTCCTCTCCATTTGCTCTCGGTCTCACCACACACAGACACTAAAGTGACAGCAGCCAGCATGTACTAGGGCTCCTAAGTACATGTTGGATTAACTAGTGGACGTGCCTTCCCCCCTTCTTCACTTTGCATGCTGGGCCCTACCTGAGCTTATCTGCCACAAAAATGACCCGACGCTCCAGCAGCAGTGAGGCAAAGATCCGGATGAGCTGGCGCACACTGAGACAGGTAAAAAGGCACTCAAAATCCACGTGCTCCAGCCGGGAATCCATGGGCCGCCGCAGCTCTAACACCTGCAGGAGAGTGGTGGGGAAAGTGGGTCAAGGCAGACCAGCTGGGAGCCACTCCTGGCTCCCCCACAAAGCGCCCCAATGCTGGTTTCCATTCCCGCTCTCTCTTTTGCAAGGTCTGTAATCTTCCCCACTAGGCAGTAAGACCCAGTCTCCTCCTCCCCTCAGACCACAGCTCTGTTCTTGTAGTACTCAGTCACCCTGCCTGTGGGCAAGAGGGCGAGCTCTGAACATGGAAGAGGTTCCAGAAAGAGGGAGCTGAGAAGCCATTCGCCAGGTTCTCGGGAAAGCGAGCGGGAGAGCTGACTGCTCTTACAGGTAAGGAGAGTGAGGGAGCCACACAGCTTTATCTGCACGGTCCTCCCTGCCCTCTTGCCCATCTCCCTAAGGAAAGGTCTTGACCCCACCCCTGCTGACCACCCCACAACTGACCGCTGCCCTCAAGGCTAGATGAAGAGCGACATCTCCGCACCAAGGACTCTGCTCACACATCTAGAAGGACACTGCTAGGTCCTTGTTGCCATGCCTCCTCCCTTTCATGCTAGGGTTTCCTTCCAGAGGTTCTATCCTGGCTTCTAGCCTCTATCTCTAGCATGTCTAACCCCTGTGCCAGAGACAAGGGAAACACAAGGAGAGGGCTGGCTATTCCACAACCTTGCAAGAAGCACGCCTTCCTTTATCAGGGCCAAATCTAGCAATCTTCCCTCCAAAGAGGTTGCAAGGCACAGACAGCCACTTCCCCAGGGGTAGTCATGAGGGTGGAGGGTGGCCACTGACCCCGGGAGTAGGAGCAGGAGGAACTGCTGATGCTCAGGCCAGGCCAAAGCAGCAGTCACTGGGGCCTGCCTAGTCTCCCACTGGTTCCTCAGCGTATGTGGGTAGCACGGATGCGCAGGCCTCCTGAGAACCAGGATAAACCTAAGTCCCTCTTTAGCCCTACGGTGTCAGAGCTCTCCTCAAGGGGCTTTTACCCCAGCTCATCTCATCCATTCCTCAGAGTCTACACAAGTGACGGTCTAGCTTCTAGCTCAGAAGTTGTCCCTCTGGGCCCCCGGGAAGAGGCAAATGGGCACAAGTCACCCTAAGGATCTCTCTTTTATGGACACCTGTTTACACCCTGTCTCTCCCCTCAGAGGGTGAAGTCCCAGAAGGCCCACTGATCAGCAAAATGCTGGGTACACCCACAATGCTCAGCGCATGCGGGCTGAAGGAATCCCACACCACAATTACGCCAGAGGCCTCTGCACCCCTCCTGTCCTTGCCCCATCCCAGAAGAAGCTGCAGTGAAGCCCTCCTAGTCCTCCCTCCTGAGAGCCTGCATGCAGCCCAACAGACTCTGCTCTGCAGCACACGGCGCCCCACTCCTACCACCCCGGGGGTTCGGGCTCCTTCAGGGAGTGAGAGTTCACACAGGCAGCTCGCAGGACCTGGGCCTCTTGACTCACCCCGCCCTCAAGGAGATCATAGTCCAGTGGAGCTGAATGAGCCACATCACAGCCCATGAGCCTGGGGTCAGGACCAGGGAAAGGTATAATTAACACCTGCACGGGGTGCTGAGAGGGCTTGAGGAAGGGCACCCATCTCGTCTGGGGTAGGGTAGAGGTATGGGTCAGAGCAGCAGCTCAGAGCACAGGATGCTGGATCTGGTTGTCCAAGGAGAGAAGAAGGGAAGTGTCTTCAAGGCAAAAGGAAGCAGGGTTTAGGGACAGCAAGCAATTCAAGTCAGTGTGGAGAGGAGGCAGGTGAGTGGGCTGGGGCCACGTCCTGAGGACTCCCGGTCACGCTGCTGGGCTCTCAGGGCAGGGTCAGTGGCCCTGACCCAGGCCATGAATGAAGCCCCAAGTCCCCCCACATGGGGGTGGGAGAAATTAGGCTCAAAGGCCCTAAATGGCATTCGCCACTCCCAGCAAACCCAGTGTTTCTTTTTTTTGTTGTTGTTGTTAAACAATCTGCTTATTTATTTATTTATTTTAATAGCTTTTCTGTTTTATTTATTATTTAATTATTATTATTATTTTATTTTGGTGGGGGGAGGTAACTAGGTTTATTTATTTTTAGAGGAGGTACTGGGGCTTGAACCCAGGACCTTATGCATGCTAAGCAAGCGCTCTACCACTTGAGCTATACCCTCCCCCCAAACCCAGTGTTTCTTTAGCCAGACCCTCTCCACTCCCTGCAACAACTCATTTATTTCTTCTTCCCTCTCCTCAAACCCAACACCCTCCTCTCACTCTCAGAGGATGACCTTCTTTTCCATTTTGAAAAACCCAAAGCTATCAGATGAGAATCTCAAATCTACAAGCCACAGCCCGACCCAGCCATTACACAAGGAAGTGCCCTTCTCTCCTAACAGAGCCGGTGCCCCCACGGGTCCCACCGCCCGGCCTTCTCCCCGACAGTCTGACTCCCCTCTCCTCTTCTGCCCTTTAACCCTTCCTCTGTTGGGCCATCCCCACCACCACCTTCAACCAACTCCCCTGGCTCCCCATTACTTTCAACCACTGCCCCTTTCCCATTTCTGCCCCCACCAAGCCTCATGAAAGATGTCTCTACAGGCTGTTACTTCTCAATCCCATTCACTTCTCAACTCTCTCCTCTCAGGCTTCTCCTGTCAAGGCATCTCATCCTGCCCTCACCTGAGCACTCCTTCCTTCTTGAGACGCGCCCTTCCTTGGCTTCCCAGCCATGTCTCCGGGTACTCCTCCGGGTACTCCTCCTGTCTTTCCCATCTTCAGGGCTGCTGCTCCTCTACTGTAGGGCCTCCAAATGCTGGAGTCCCTCAGGACTATCTCTTCTCCCCTGTCTACACTCTTGCTACTCAACATCTTCTCTGGAGTGTCTCACAGGCACCTTAAATGTTATGTGCACAAAATCGAACTCTTCCTTCTCCCCAGCCTGCTCCTCCTTCAGGTGCTCCAGCAGTTACCCTGTGGCTCAAGCCAGAAAACTGGGAATTAGCCTTAAAATCTCCCTAACACGATTCCCTACTTCCAATCAAACACAAAGTGCAATCGATCCTAATTCTAAAGTACATCTCAAATCCATCTACTTCTCTTTATCCCTTCCTCCACACCTTAACCCACACTCCTACCCTCTCTTGCCTGTACTGCTGAACATTATCCCAGTCGGTCTCCTTGTTTTCACTTTGGCCCATTATCTACACAGCAGCCACAGAGAGGTTTTAAAAACATATCTCAGATCATAGATCCCCGCTTTAGGTACATTCCAAAACCCTGCGCTTGGCCTAGAGGCGCACTGTGACTTCACCTTGCTGCCTATCCACCCTGCTCGCTCCCCTGTCAGCCATCTCGGCCTGTTTTCAGTTCCTTGACAAGCATACACACCTTCTCAGTCTTTGCCTTTGCGTGCTGTCCCTCCACCCCGAGTCATCCTCTCCTGTCCACACCCTTCTCTTGGGTCTCCTTCCTCCCCTTCATCTAGTTGACTCTACTCACCAGGGGTCCCTGGTAAAATGCCATTTCCTCAGAGGAGGCCTTCCCTGGCCCCTAACCTAAAGCATGCCCCCTGCTACTCACTCTTACTCCTGTACTTTCACTTGGCACTTAAAACACTGAGGAGTTATCTATCTCTATGCAGAAGTATTTAATATCAGTCTCTCCCATCAGACTATGAACTCCACAAGGACCGAGCTGTGACCCTCTTTAACTTTATGCCTCTGTCCCAAGGTCTGCACAAACCCGGACTGTGAGACAGCGCATAATCAGTAAATATTTGATGAATGAATAAAAGGTGGCCTCCAGTTTAGTCCAAACAGGTCAGGGAAGGCCCCTGGGATCTGCAGAGAGTTGAGCAAAAGTAGAGTTCTGTCATTCACTTTTTCAGTCCCTGTAGATTAGGTGTGCACACGTGTCGAGCAAGGAAGGGGCCGTGCTCTGCACCTTCCAGAGACTGCAGGCAGGTCCCACGCCAGCCCCAGTCCATGGTCTGTGAAAGAGGCAGCAGAAATCCCTACCTCATTGCCAGCACCCGGCAGGAATGTCTTCACTTTGATGGTCTTCCCTGGGGCAGGGAAGGGTGATTCCATGAGACTTCTCATGAAGGGATAAACCAAAGCGGCGGAGATCCCACGCCGGCGCTCCACCTCATCCAGAACCTGTGCCCGCCGTCAGCAGCCCAAAGAGGAAGGGTGTCAGGGCGCTGCCCTTCCCTACCTCCTAGGCAGAGAAGAGGGTAACCCAGCATCTGAACAGCCTGGGCCAAAAGCTGGGAGACGGGGGACTGCCTTGCCAGGAGCTTCACATCCTACCCTTCCCGTTTTCCTGGTCACTCAGGGACTACTCTGTTCCCTAACGCGTCCTTGCCTCAGACCCCAAGAGGTGAGTAGCTGGGCAAAGGAAATACCATTTGAGGGCTGGGTTCCTGGGCACCTGGCTCCCCCAGGGGTCTCTGTCCTCACAGACTCTGGCTCCTCCCGCAGCCCAGGGTGGGCTGTGACATGGGCTGTGACACTGCTGCAGCAGGAGCTGGTAGATGGGGAGTCAGAGAGCTTGCTTGCACTTGTACTTGTGCTTGCGTTCTCGCCTTCTCTCACCCTCTCACGCACACACAGGTGGTTTTCTCATCTAAGCCGCCAGCAGATACTCCTATGGGAGCTGTCAGCTGGCGGGAGGAGGAGGGGGAGGGAAGTTAACCAGAGCCCTCTTACCTTGGAAAACAAGCCGAAGCAGCCAAGGCGGCTGATGACACAGTATACCTCTGGCAACCGAGGCCCTTTCCCACTTGGCTGGGACAAGGAGGAGAGAGAGACACAGACAGAGAATGCATGATTACAATATCTGGCTCCTTCTCCTTGGGAACTGAGGACTAAGCACTGCTCTTCTAGTGAAGGAAGATTTCCAAGCCTCTTCTAAACCTCTACTCAACCAGGCCCCCAAAGGAAAGGCTGCCACTCTTCGGGGGTAGGCCTCAGCCTTCACTGGGCCTTCCAGCCCAAGGTGCCAGGCTCCTGCCAAGCTCTACACAGGCTCCACCCTTCCTCCCAGTAGGACACTGATGGGGGCTGGCAAAGGACTAAGGAGTTTGGCAGAGGCTATAGGGTGATTTGTGGATTTCCATCCCTAAATCCCCGGGGCACCAGAGGAAGCAATGGTAAGGAGAGGGACTTCTGTACATTCTTGGGAGCAAGCCAGGTAGTCTTCTGCCCCCTTACAGGGGACATTCTGCAAAACATTCCTTTTCTCAGTCACTCTTTTGTCCCTTCCTTGACCCATCCCCATTCTAGGAAGGCAAATCGAAACCAGATAAGGGAAGCAAACTACTATTTACTGAATGTTTACCGTAGCTGAGTCCTGGGTTTGGTACTTTCCAAAAACTGCTTAGATAGGTATTATTATCTCCATTTTATTGATGGGGAAACCAAGCTCAAAATTACTAAGTCATTGCCAAAGGTCATGTATATCTAGAAGTCATGGAACCAGGAGCCTGTTTTTGGCCTCTGATTTACTGTATTACTTCTAAAGCATGCTGCCTTCTGACAGAAAGGAAAGGAAAGAAACACAAAGACACAGGATAGAGGCATGTACAGAGCAGAGAAGACGCACACTTTTTTATAAAGGGGATTGGAAAGGTAGGCAGCTGGAGGAGATGTACACTGAGAGCTGCCCAGGCCTGCAGCCCCCAAATGCAGGCTGGAGTGAGTCCACAGGAGTCAGCTTCCCCAGCCAGGGGCTGGCAGGGCTCTGTGGCTGCCTCTGGTTCAGAGGCCTGGAGAGCCTGGCAAGGCCGAGTGGGGTGGGAGCAGAGCAGCAGGTGCTGGCCCCTCGTGCAGGCTGCTAAGCAAATGCAGATGGGGCTATTTCAGTCTCCAAACCTGCTGGCCACACGTCACAGATCTAAAGAGAAGGCAGAATCTGTTTTTGTCCATATTAGGCCTGAAACTCACTCCTCTTTCTTTCCCTCTCCCCCGCCTCCCCTAAAGCCCCAAGTGATTAAATCAAGTATGTGGGATTTGGGTTAGAATCATTGTGTCCAATCTGTAGGAATGCCGAGCGAGTGCCAGCCCCCTTGGCAGGGACCCAGCCCAGGCCCTCTCTGAGCACGCCAGGACAAACACGCTCCTCCCTGGGGGCAGCAGGCCCGCTGCAGAGAAGCAGCTCTGCTCCATCTCTGCTCCTTCCTGCAAAGGCAGTTTTCGGAATGCTCCCCTCCAAGCCCAGGTGAATCTGCCTGGCTCCCCACCTGGAATCTGTACGGCTCCACCTTCCTTAGCCCCACTCACTGGGCATTCTATCTCCAAGTATTCCTTCTCCCCAGACTACCCTTTGGGATGACCCAAGAGTACCAGACTTGGTGTTAAAGGACTTGGAGACAGTCCTGGCCCTGGCCCTCACTGGTTGTGTGACCCAGGGCAAGTCCTTCCACTTCTGAATCTCAGTTTCTTAAACTATAGAATGGATATAATAATACCTCATGGGCTATTATGAAGAATGAAGAAAATGACAAACCTAAAGCACCTAGTCTGGAACATAAATAGGTCCCAAATAATAGTTCATTCCCTTTGCCGTCCCTTCTATATTAAAAGTCCTACCTCCTCTACCAGATTAAAGCTCCTTGAAGAAAGGATCCATGTCTATCTCATCTTTATGTGCATTTAGTGTGTTGCCTGACCTTCAATAGGTGTACGGTACTTGTTTCTGAATGAATAAATGACTGAATGAATGAATGAATGAATGCCCCAGAATTCTTAATTTGGGGTCCTTACTTATACACCACCCTTGCCTAGGATCCCCTTCATCCTGTCCCTTGTCCCACTAAGGCCTGGGGACCCTGAAACACTGTCAATAACCCAAGCCAGCGACATCCCTGGTGAGCCCCGGGGAAAAGCATGACAGGACCCTCCTTACATTTACCTAAGTCTATCTCCTGGGACTGATGGGGAGGGGGATGAGGGAGGGGATCTCTCTCAACAACATGGTTTTTATTTTCAGAACCCTCCCTTTCCCCTGAGTTCAAGACATCCCTACCAGAATTCCCAAAGAAGGTACTGCTCTGTCCCTGCTCAGCCTCCAGCCCTACCAGACCATGGACAGAATGCACATCAGGCTGGCCAGCTGTGGGGGTGAGAAGGGTTGTCCTCCATCCCACCTCCACACACATACTGCTGGGGTGATATGATCCTGCAACCCTGGATCAGCAATCAGAGCCCATAAGCCCAAAGAAAATGAATGAAAAGAAAAAGCATAGAAAAGCTAAAAATATACGACAGCCCAGTAGAAGGTGATTCACTCTCTTCCCTTATTGCAGATTATCTTAGATCCTGGAGCCAAATCAAAGAGGCCACTTTGAGCCCTGCGATCCCAGGAGTGCTGTGTGTGTGTTTGCGTGTGTGGTGGTGGCCTCAGAGAGCACACAAGGGAGCAGAACACAGGAGTTCCTACAAGCTCAAGCTGAAGAAGGGCACACACACACACACACGCACACACACACACACACACTCTGTGGCCCAGCCCCTGAGGACTGAATGGCCCTACTCACCAGCAAGCGCCTGCAGTAGCCAAAACGTCTGCTGCCATCTTCCCCAGTCAGCATGAAAGAAAAAGTCTCACTGGAACAGGGAGAAGTCTGGCATCAGGGAGGAAACAGCCCCCAAGAAGAGGGACTGCCTTCCCAGGGAGGGGTGGAGGGCCCGGCTGCTGTAGGAGAGGAGGCGGGGGCTCAGGTGGGCCCCGCTCATCTGCCCACTGCCATGGGCTGTGGCCCCTTCCTCCCTCCAGCCAGGCCAGGCCGAGCCTCACCTGCTGTACTCTGACACAGGCAGCCAGTCCTTGGCATCAGGGAAGCAAAACTGGGGAATAGCCTTGAGCCTCTCCTCTGCCTCCCGCATCTGCTTGGTGGGTCGATCCAGCTGCAAGGAAGGGGAACGTGGGGAGAGACAGATAAGAGAAAACATGGAAGTTGGGGGAGCAAGGGGTAGCTGAGAAATATCTCCTCCCCCGAGAGCCCGAGGTGGCACTCTCTCAACTGGCATGCTTCTCAGCAACCCCAGCCCCATTCCCAATTCCTACAGGGAGGTCTGGGTGTGGGCTGAGTCATCATTTATTCATTCACTATATGCCAAACTGGCATCTTCTATGTGGCACCTGGCACTCTGCCATGTGCTGGGTAACCAACAGGAAACAAAAGTGGACGAGGTCCCTGTCCCTGAACGTTTTGATCAGCAGAGTGAGATAACCAACCACAAAATTTCAGAGGGTGTCACAAAGGAAATAAACCAGGGTGGAGATACAACAAAGGTAACTGGGTGGGGAGACGGGCTACTTTCATGGGGCTGGAAAGATCACCTGGAATAGGTACTATTTGAGCAGAGAATGAAGAATGAGAAAGAGCCAGCAGCCAAGTGAAGGGTGAAGAAAGAAGATTCCAGGCAAAGGCAACGCAGAGAGAAAGGGCCTGAGTGTTAAAGAAAAAGAGGCAGATGGGCTGGCTGGGGATGAGCAGGGAAGGAGGGGTAAGAGGGGCAGGTGGAGGAAATGGGCAGTGACTGCTAATGGGACAGGGTTTCTCTCTAGGGTGATGAAAATGTTCTAAAGTTGATTGTGTAACTGTGAATATACTGAAAGTCACTGAAACATACACTTTGAACAGGTGAATTGTATAGTATGTGATTTTATCTCAATAAAATGGTTAAAAAAAGGAATAAGGTAGAGAAGTGGCTGGGGGCCCTCCCTCAGGCCCCTCACAGTCCTTGTAAACAACGTGGATCTTATTCTAGGTAGAGCAGGGGGTGTTCTCTCAGCCCTCGGCCTCCAAATAATCACTGGCCCAAACCCACAACCTCCAAAGCCCTCTCCTCCCTCCTGGCTATAGGGAGCCATGCTCAGGGAGGGTGCAGCGAGGCAGGAACGGGATGGGATCTCTCTTCTTCCCCAGATGGGCCGGGCAGAAAGAAGGCAGCATAGGAGATGGCCTCACCTTGGGAAACTGGTAGGAGACTTCAGGGAGGTAGGTGTTTCGGGATGGCTTCTTCTTGAGGGATACCACCACGAAGTACTCAAACAGCTCCCGCTCCTGCCACTCCAGCAGCTCCAGCTCCAGGGTCCGGTAGCTGGGTGCACGCTTCAGCATGGACTGGATATGGACTAAGCGCTGTGTGTGGGCTGAGGGCATGTCACACATCAGGGACAGGCAGCTGGGTCCTCAAGACCTCATGTCAGCCCCCTCCACCGCAGACTCAGGGCTCCATCTCTGCAGGTCACCTCTAAGTGCACGAGCCTAGTCTGACACCCTGGCCCAGCGAGGTGTGGGGGAGAAGAGGCAGGAGCAAGATGTCTGGACTGTCCGCCTGACACTGGAGCTACGAGCCTGGGCCTTCTGGAGCCCCTGAAGGCTGAGCTGGGGCCAATAAGACTGCCTGAGCCAGGCAAACCCAGGAATGTATCAGTGGCACCCACCCACCCCTGCCCCTGCCCTACACCAACAGGACTAGGAGATCTGAACATCCACGAAGCCTTCATCCTTGGGCCCCTATCAGAGTCCTTGGCCTTAGACCCCTTTTCCCTGTTCCCGGGCCCAGAGTCCACTTGTCCACTCGCCTGGGGGACCAGTGGAGGAGGGAAGGAGGGAGCTAGCTCCCATATACTTTAATTATCCAGGAGGGTCTAGGCAGGGTTTCCCACTAGAGAAAGGACAGAGATTTGTCCAAGGCCCCTGGAATGTGAAGGTCCCAGAACCCTTCCAGGGAGGTGGCAGCTCTCCACTCCAGGGAGAGGGGAGATGAGTGGCCTCAGGGCCTCCAGAGGACCAGATGCCTCAGACTATGGCACAGTTCTTACAACCAGGAGAGGCACTTGTCATCTTCTGAACCCATCTCTGACCCTCCAGATCCACAACACTTGCTAGGCAAACCTAGCACCCAATTCTCACGGACAACAACTTAGGAAAATAAGGGCAGGGTCACTGGCCTTAAATTTGGGCAAGGGGAGACTCTGAATTTAACCTCGCAGGGCTGAGCTCCACGACCTTAGGCATGGAATTCCCTATAGCTCCTTGCTCTGTTGGCCTGGTATCATGCCTGCCATCACCTCTCCAAATGGGGCCACTTTGGAACACGGGAACTGTAGGTGTGGAGGAAGGGAAGGCTGGTTTCCTACAGCCAGGGCTGGGAGAGGGCTCCGAGCTCTTGGGGAGCCACGCTCACCTTTGAACCTGTCATCAGAGTCGCTCTCGCTCTCACTGTTCTCATCTGGAAAAGTAACAGCAGGAATGCACACTTGCTGAGCCTCTGCCCCACAGCAAGTGTTTTTTGTGCCTCCTCCCCACACCAACCCTTCTCATGAGGGATGTACCTTGTCTGGGCTCCAGTGGGACTCTGGCCAGGCACTGCATGGCCTGGGGCCAGGGTCCCTCAGAGCTCAAACAGCAGGTGCTAATCTATATACAAACCCCTATCCATCCTGTCCTGATATGGAGGAAGCTGAGGGCCCAAGTTGGAGGCTGAGCCAGCAGAGAGGCCTATGGGCCTGGAACACAAGGGTCTGGCCTCTAGGAGGCCAAGATTTGAAATGGGAAACAGACCACAGTGCTCGGTAAGTCTGGCCTTTCCTTTTGCCAGAAGCAAATTCCCACACCCACCTCCCTATTCAGGGCCTCACAGCCCAAAGCCTGAACTAACCCATCCCAGGGCTTTCTTCCCTCCATGGCCCTCCCCTCCTATGTAGCCAGTTTTTGGCAAGGCTCTATCCTCCTAGAAAGCAGGAGGACCCCACAATTGGCCCATGGAAGGGTAAACTGAGGCTAGTCCATGTCCCTCCCCAATCCACATGCCCAAGGGCCCCAGACACCTGAGCCAGCTCAGGCATCCAGACTTACCTCTCAGCGATGATGTCTCAATGCTAGACATAGACAGCTTTTTTAACCTCTTCTTTCCCCTCTTGGCATTGTAGATGGAGTTAATTCTTTGGACAAGCTGGGTGAGAAAAGCAGGGAGGGTGAGATGACCCTAACACCAACTGCCCCTGCTTCTAGGAAGGTTGATTTATAGAAGCCATCTGTTCCCCTACTGGGGCAAGCCTTCTGCCCTCCCCACGCCAGGCCCAGGACTGGTCTTCCTGCTGCACTGACCCAGAGGGCAGACTGGTAGCTCTCTATCTACTTGTCCCCTTAGTGGTCTCCTGCCCAAGACAGGGACATTACACTTAGCTCCCCAGAGGAAGGAACTGTGATCAAACTAGACAGGATGGGAGCTCCTGGGTCTCAAGAGTCACCGAACCAACTGAGACAAAGAGCTGCCCAGAGGCAATAACAGGAACAAGGATTGGAGCCTTTCCCCTCTGGGCCACAACCCGGGGCCCTGGCAGGAAGGAGCTAAATTCCCAGTATACCCAAGCATTGTTTGCAGGCTAAAAATACCAACTGGCTAGATCCTGCTGCTTTGGGCTGGGGATTTGGGCCTGGCTGCCTATGTGTGCAAATCACTGCTGAAAACTCTCAATTCTGAGAGTTATAGAAAGGAAGGCCCATGTTTGAGTCCTAGGTCCTTCAAAGCCTAGAGATATTTATGTGGATGCAGGGACTTGGAAACACACACTCCAGACTCACCAATGGGGAGCCTCCTAAGTACTGTTTCCATCCACCCAGCAGCATGGAGCACCCCCCGGGGCCAGGCTAGCCTGTTTTCCCCTAACATCTGCACAGCGTTAATCTCTTAGTGCATCTTTATTGATGAGAAAACAGGATTAGCCAGATGAAAAAGAAAGGCCAGTGCACGAACTCAAATCTAGTTAAGGAGAATGGAGGAAGCAGGCCCAGATCAGAGAAGGAAGGAAGGGAGAGAAGAGCCATCCGCCTGCTTGCCTGCCTGCCTGCCTGCCTGCCTGCCTGCCCACCTGCCCAGCCCCAGTGGCTCCATCTGGAGAGGCTACCTTGGGAATGCGGCGGGCCCGGCGGCTAGACAGCAGCTCGCTCGTGGTGCTGAGGCTGTCTTCGTTGAGGCTGGAGGGTGAAGACGGCAGGCTCAACTGCGCCAGCAGCAGCATGTCGTCATGGCTGTGCCTCTTGGGTAATCGTGGCAGCCGGTGGCTCTTCCTTTCTGACCAATTCCCACTGCGCAGGGTCTGGCTGCCGGGCTTCAGGGAGACCTGGCATGGGGGAGGGGACACGGGTGAGCGACTCACCACAGATGCCTTGGCTGGCACCTGCCTGCTGGGGCCTGGACATAGAAGCCACAAGCTGGCACCCCTGACTCACCATATTCCACCCTGGCGTTTCCATCTACCAGGGTTTCCTCTTTTAAGACCTCAACTGCTAATCAACAGGCCAGGGCTAGATTAGATACTTGCTTCCACAAAGAAAGCTTAAGTATTTCTGCCAGAAAAAAGAAAGCAAAGTCTAAGAAAACTGGGTTGTCATCTGAGTGGAAAAAGAAGGCCAAGTGAGAATTCTGGGGGTTCCCCCTGAACTCTGAGATGAGGCTTAGACTGTTCATTACTGGGCATGGCTGATGGAGCCAGTCTTCCCCACTCAGCCCTGGTCCTAAAGGGCTTCTCTAGCAGAAGCCAGAATCTACATGCCAGTCCAGCCCTGCTCACTTCTTCCAGGGAGAACACGGGGCTCTGGGCTCTGACCACCAAAGCCCAGTAAGGCAGGCCTCAGAGTGGCTCCCTCACCTACATGGTCCTGGGCTGCCCGCATCCCCGGCCCTTACCTACCTTCGGCCTCCCTCCAACTAGACTGACACCCTTCGGCACAGGGCACCTTACTTTCAGCAGATCCTGCACACTGCTAGAAAGGCCACATCCCTGCAAACCTGGCATGCCTTCCGCCTGCCGTCTGGACCTTGCATTGCCTCTCATCACTCCTCAGCAAGTCCTCCTTCCTCCCTCCCCCAGTTTCCTCTTCCCACCCAATTGGTCTGGAAATACAAATTCAATGGAAGTTTGTTTGAACAGAGCACATTAAAAGGTAAATCTTTTATAAAAATAATCACATCATTCCAAAGCCAGAAGAAATCAGTTTTATATCCTCTAGCTGAAGTTATAAAGTATCTAGGTACTCCATTTGTATAGAGAATTAGAGTTGCCTGGGTAGGTCCAAGAAAAGATCTCCAGTCTCCTGCCTCCTGTCCACCATGGACAAGGCCAGAATGAGCTAAAATCTGAGAGCCTCCTTTGACTCTTTACCTTTCTTTCATTCTGCCTCTAACAGTCTAACCCTCATAGATTCATTCATTCACCCATTCACCTCATGGGAGCAGCTCCAGGTCTTGCAGACACCTGTCTAGTTCTCCAAATCCGGTTCTTGGGCCTATGCCTGGCCCCCAAACGCCAGTGCTGAGATCAGTTCTGCCAGAGCTGCAGAGCACCAAGGCTCCAGCCCGAGACCTGTCTTCCTGTTTCCCACAGAAGGCAGGGAGGAATAATGATTACACAGGAGACTATAGGGGCTCCTGTCTTAGTTTTGCAGCTCAGAGCCCAAGCAGAGAAGGAAAGAGGGTAGGACAGGATTTCCTGAGAGCACTTCTTGACTGTCCCTGGGGACAGCAAACATGGCAGAAGTCCCTGAGTGCAGCGTTCTCTCCTGACGTCACCTCCTCTGCCAAGCACTAGTGAGGGGAAAAGCCTGCGTGGAAGCTGGCCCCGCCTCGTGCTGACCACACAGGACCAAGTCGGGGCTGCCGTTACCTGAGCGGGGGGGTGGTTGTACTTCCTGTCCTGAGGACTCCACATCCTGTGCAAAGAGTCCAAGGAGTTCTCAGACAGTTGCTGGGATTTTCGTCCTGCTCTTCGGCTCTTTAAGTCCACATCCTCATATGGATTCTCCTTGGGCAGATCTCCTGCAGAGGAGGAGAAGTTAGAGAAGGGAGAGAAGGAGAGAAGGAAACACACAAACACACACACACACACACATACACACACAAATAAACAAGCTGAATTCCTGTGAACCAAAGAGAGTGGCTTCTCTGCCTAGCCTGTCAGCTCATGAGTCACGCAGCTGCCCGTCTGCAGGGGGGAGGCTACAAACAGATCCCGGCTCCAAGTCCAGAAGCTGAACCCCCCCACTCCCACTTCAGCTCAGCCTTGTCTCGTCTCTCCTTTATAAATTCAAGGATTGCACAAGACTGGCTCAGCCACCCCCGCCTGTGCCCAGCCAGAGGACAAAGCCAACATCAGACGTCTTTCCTTGGCTCCAGTCCCTCTGCTGCAAAAGCCCCAGAGATACACAGTTCAAGGTAGGAAAGGGTTTCAGAGGTCACACGCCTGTCCCTTCACCGACAGCTCCCTGAGGACCACTTCTGGGGATGGGCACGGAGGGACTCTGAAGAACTCCAGGGAGCCAGGCTTTACCAGGCCTCCCTCCGCCTGCACACTGCTCAGCAGCTCTCTCAGGACAGGGCTTTTGTCTGGCCCACTGAGGTGACCCCACACCAGAGCAGTGATTAGTAAGTAGTGGGTGCTCACTGTTATTGTTCAATGAACCGGTCTGACTGTCGCGTCACTCCACTTCCTCCACCACGGACCTCAGCAAGAGAATGGCCATCAGCCCCCTCTTGGAATAAACTCTCCTGCTGTGACGCACGGGAGATGTGAGAGGCCTGAAGGGAGTCTGGGCCAGAGAGGTGGTGTTGGGGGGTAGTTCTTGCTTCTCTTCTCAGGACTCATTTCTAAAATCCATGGCTATAGGTGCTATATTGGCACGACCAGAAAAATCACAGGAAGTCCAAAGCATAGTCCCTGCTCTTGAAGTGCTACCCCCTCTCCCAAACCACACGTCCTGCCCCGTTCCCGCCAACACACATCTGGACTTTTCTAAAATACAGTAACATCAAAAGCGAGGCCAGTCCTGGCTCAATTGTGCAGCAGAATCACAGCAGTAACAAGATCCGTGGGGACTGTGAGTGAATACAGCCCTCTGCTCTCCTTTCTCTCGTCTTTCCACAGCCTCCCCTCCATATCAATGCCACTATTTGGGACCCAGGTACAGTGACGAGCATACAGCTTTGCTGGAGGAAGTACACAGGGGAGAGCAGGATTGAGCCTGGGTGACCACTGGGCCCCACGGATGCCTGCGTGTGCCTCACACCCCCAGGGAGTTCAGATGCCACTTCTCAGGGAACAGGCAGAAGAAAGAGCCATGGGACTAGACACAGAGGCCACTGGGAGTCTAAGCTTTCCTAGAATAGGACGAAGGAGAAAAAACAATCTCTCTATGCTTTCGGATTTCTCAATTTCCAAAACCAAGGTCCCCCCACCAATTGTGGTATCTACTTATTACTATCACGAAAAACCACAATGAATTTAGGAAATGCCTTTACAGAGGTGTGGGGGGAGGGGAGTGGGGCTGTGAGGGGGGATTTGGGTCAGTTAATTAGACTGTCATGGGAGCAATATAAATCTCTGTAAACTTATGAGTCAAAGATGGGTCAAGAAAGGATTTGGGACTGGATTAAGAGATTCCCAACACCAAGCAGAGTCCCCAGCAATGGAACAGCAGTTTTCCTGTAACACAGTCATGCTATGAAAATGACTTGTCTCCATTCCAGAGCCCTGACTAAGCAGAGCTGGCCCAGCAACCCGGCCTCAAGAAGCCAAGAAGCCAAATATGAAACTGGCATCCCCTGCATGTTTTCTCCAGCCTACCCCACTGTGCGCACATAGGGAGAAATCAGGATAGACTCTGTATTTCTTGGTCTCTCTCCAACATATATCCTACAGCAGTGCAGCTGGGGAAGCAAGGATTAGAGAATGCCAGGCAGTCTTCCTGATCCTGTGAGAGGGGACCAGAGCATCACTGTTCACATGGGGGCAGGAAAAACAGGAAGAACACTTATTTTAGGCTCATCAAATCTAAACTGCTTTGGGCTACATGACCAGCCAGAGCCCTTATTGTCATATCCCCCAACCAACAGGATGACCTTGTTTCAACTCCTTTAGATCAGAGTTCCTACAAACTACTGACATTTGGGCTGGATAATTCTTGTTGTGGTGGACTGTCCTGTGCATCTGCAGGGTGTTCAGTAGCAACCCTGGCCTTGATCCACAAAACAAATGACAGTGGCATCCCCTCAGTGGTAAGAACCAAAAATGTCTCCAGACACTGTCAAATGTCCCCTGAGCAGACGGACAAATGGATGACAGGTGGATGAGTGGACAGATGGACAAAGGAAGGAAGGAAAAAAAGGAAAGGAAGAAGAAACTGAAAGGTGGATGGGTGAATGGATGGACAGATGAAACTGAGCCCCACCCAGCCCCATTAAGAGCCACTGTTTTAGATAGATGTTTCTCAGCTTCCTAATAGCTTCTGACTGCCATGTCAATAACTCCCAAGGCAAACCCTCTTTTCCTCCCTTGTTCACCCCTTCTCTTCTCTCCCTTCTTTCTTTACCCAAAATCAAAGCTTTGAACATTAACAAAAAAATCTAAAGCTCCGAAAATAGATGGGAGGAGACTGGGGCCCTGGAAAGTAATCAATGAACATCAGTGACAACCTGGAAGCTGAAAACAGTTGGGAACTCCAGGTCCTCAGACCTAGTATTGCATCTAAAACTAAATTTCAGGAAAGCCTCAAATGCCTGCTCCTCCTGCCTGCCCAGCCCTAACACCAGCCTCTTTCTTCTCCAGCAACGTTCAACATCCTCTCTGATATAACCAGGTCACTAATCACTTCTCCAGGAAATGACCACTGGCCCTGGTCCAAGCCCTGCCTCCCCAGCCTTAGCTTGGGCCCTTCCCAGCCCCAGTTCACCTCTTACTCTTAACTTCCTGGAGCTCTACCCTCTGGAGCTGCCTCACTGAGACACTCCCATGCCAGGCAGTAAGGGTGCCCAGGGATGGGGATGTGCAGAGACCAAGCAGAACCCAAGTCCTAGAGCCACTAAATGGAACCTGCTGAGAGCAAATTAATCCCACAGCAATGGCTCAGAGCTAGGAAAGGAGGAGGGCTGGAGAATAGGGCTCAGAACCACTTCTTGGGGAGCAGAGCCACAGCCAGGCTGAAGAAGCAGCAGCTGAGTGGGAAAACCTGGGGAAGACGTAGCAGAGGCCCAGACGGGAGGCAGGAAGCCTGGCCGACGTCAAGGCTTTAACCTGAACGCCTGCCCACACAGCTTCCCTGAAGGCTGTCCACGCTGCCCCTGGAGAGAGAGAAGAGGAGGCCCTCCTCCCTGGAGCCTTGGCCCTGAGCAGCCCCATCTCATCAGGCCCAGCTGTGAAAGCCAGAGGTCTCGACATTTCCCAGCTTTGCTGATGAGATAACGGATGAGGGCATCGCCAAGAATTTCTGCTTTTGCACTCTTTTAAAGGGGTTGGTCAGAGTTCAAACTTATCACATGGACCCTCTTGAAGGAAGAACCCAGCCCCATCTGGCCCCGCTACTCCCCGACACACCTCCTTTGGTCATTAACCACAGGTGCCAAACACCCAACTCCACAACATACGCGTAACTGGAAGAACCAGTTAGAGAAGGGGTGTGTGTGTAAGTGCACTGGTACTGAGAACTTTTCCAAACAGAATCTTAAGCTTCCCAGACCACACCCACGGCTAGGGCCCTGGGTCTGCAGCTACCCTCCCCAACTCTCTCCTGCTTTCAATCAGCTGTTTCTCCTGGTTCTCAGCCTCTTCCCCTCCCTCCCTCAGTGGAGGGAGGGCCAGGGTAAGGGCCCAACTCCCCCAACAACGCACAGTACATCAGATAGGGAAGTCTAGGGGACCAGTGATTACCCAACCTCCAAGCCCGGACATCATTTCCAACTGCCCGGGTGCTGACCCCTGGACTGCACCTCTGGGCGGCAGCCTCTACGCTGTTAGATGCCTCTGTTCCCTACTGTCCCCCAGCCTGGGGACGAGTGAGAGAAGAAAGCAGAAAGAGCAGAGGCTCAGAAAGCTTTGCAGTAAGGCTGACTGACTCTGTCCCCAGCTCCCACCCCGCTCAAGTTCCTGGAAACTCTCCCTCAGCCCGAGTGAGCTGATGGGAGTGGGAATCTCTGCAGGAATGCGGCCCAGGCTCCTTGGTCAGGCGCCGAGGCCACTCCACATAACTCTCTAACAAGCTGCTTCCTTGGGTGCATTTTTAAGTGTCAGGCTCAGAATGCAAACGATTATAAGGCTTTGTAGCATAGCAGCATCTTCCAGAGGCAGATGTCAAGTGGGGCAGGCAAGAATTAACAGCCCCAGGACACAGCATGGCAGTAACTGTTTTTGAGCCACCCTATCGCACATTAGCAGGATACACCTCGGCCTGCTCTGGAGTATACCGCCTCCGTTCCCAAGGTGTCATGCCTGGTATGGGCAGGAGGGCAGCATACTCTCAGGGCCCCTCGTTCAAGTCCGTGGCTCACAGAGAAAACACACTAGTCTCTGCGCCAGCTGGCCCTCAACCTGCAACAGACCAGGAGCTCCAGTCCAATCGGCTGGTCCCCAAGATAAAGACTTAGTGTGGGTGCTCTCTGCGCCCACCCCCAGCCCCACCATCACACACCCCAAACAAAGCTCTGTCTGTCCCCATGCAAGTGAGGCAGAACTAGAGCTGGATAATGCAAGCAGCCCCAGAAACGACCTCAATCTCTCAGAGCACAGACTACACCAAGAAGAGGGAGAAGGCTCCTGGGAAGTCAGAGGCACTGGTCAATCCCAGACAAAAGTGAAAGTGACATTCAGAGTTCAGCAACAAGGGCCCCCCCACCCCCACAAAAGCCTCTGGGGGGGCCAAACTCTTGGGCCTGTCTCCAGGGAAGGAAAAAGGGCTAAATCAACCAGAATCTGAGAGGAAGAGAGACTCCCCCTTGTATTTCCCTTCGGCCTCCCTAGTCAGATCTAGAAATTCAGATGGGGCTGCTATGAGATATAAAGGAGGAAAATGTGCCCAGAGCACGGAACTAACCACAGACACTGAAACCCACCCCGCACCCGACAAGGGCAAAACAAAACACCCAGGTGCCCTCCCCTCCTACCCCCTCCCCCTCCTCTCCACATAAAGCTCCAAATATCCAGAGACTAGGTGAACAGCTCAGGAACATGCCCCAGTTGCAACCTCTCCTCATACCAGCCTTTACCCTCTAGCTTCTAGCTCATCTATCCAAGAAGCATCCAGGTTGCTCCTCTATTTTCTTGTCTCCTCATGCAATATCCCAAAGTGGCAGAAAGGCCCCTCTACTGAGTGAGGAGACTGAGGCCTAGACACACTTGCCTCCCTCTTTCTCTTCTCACTTGATCTAAGAAGGTCCAGGGAACGGTTCTATGGCCCAGAACAGTGCCTCCAAAATTCTCACCACTCCCCCACACATAACAGACACTGCCCCCAAACATCCCCAACCAGAGCCCTGGAATCGTGGGACTCTGGACAGGGAGCAATGGCTGAAGCGCCCTTCTCTCTTATGTCAGTTCAGCTGAGGCAAGAACACGCCCCGATGTGAAACCCCCGGGCAGCACAGAAGGGCTGCGAAGGCTTCTCAGAGACGAAAGAGCAGTGAGGACCCAGTGCTGGCAGCGCCTGGCATCCTGAGGAGGGAGAGCTGAAAGCAGAGCCTCCTCTGTCCCCACAGCAGCCACACTGGGTGTTCCCCACGGCCCTGGGCAGCAATGACATGTGACAACTGCTCTCAAACTAGAGGACTTAGGAGTGTACATACCCTGCTCAGGGGTACAGAGGATGATGGGGTTGAGCCCCTGACCCCCATAGCTCTTGATTTCAACTCTGGGTGACCGTGCACATGAAGCTTTTTCCCAGGGGTAAGGGAAGAGGCCTTCCTCCCCAAGCCCTTTTTGTTCTGGGGATCTCATTCCCACAGTCTTCCTGATACGACAGAATTTCAGATGGCTACACACTCCAGTCCTGGGAAAGCAGTGCGAAAGCCTGTGTGGATCCAAGCACTGTTACTGGCTCTGCAAAATGCTGGCACCCCAAGTTGTAAGGAGAAAACTGGGAAACTGATGGCTCAAACCAAATGAAGGGAGAGAGGACTCAGATAAGGCCCCAGTCTTATTCTGGAGGGTTATCCCCCAGGGCCACTCCTGTCCCTAATGTGTTTACTAAGGCACTTCCCCAGCCTCAAGGCCCAAGACAGAGACAGAGACAGAGATGAGGGCAGGAATGGTCAAGTGCATGAGTACACAGCTTCTCTTCAGGGACCAGCACTTTACGTGAACAAAACTGAAGCCCCCACCGAAGAGAATCAGGCCAGAATTAAAAGCCAAAAATAAACCCAGCCCCACCTAGGCTGTGGTCTCTTCTTTGACCCTCAAGCACAAGTTTGCCAACACAACATCCTCCCAGCTGCTGGAGGACGAGTCTCCATGGTGGTTTACATTTCTGACCTTCTGAGCAAGAGGAATGCACGGTTCCAGACTACCTTTTCAAAGATGTTTACAGAGCACACAGCCTTGGAAGACAGAGAAGTGTCTCCCTCCAGGGCAGAGCAGGTCCGTTTCCTGACCAGAATAATGAGGATAATGTCTCCTTCTGGGGCCAAGGTTGAGCACGCTTGCTAGCAGCCCCTTGAAAAGTTTGGGGTTTCTGAAGCTTGGGGTTCCTCAGCTGGGATGCAGACCCATCATGTCTACCTGGACCTTCCCACACTGCCCCGTGTGAGCATCAAGCTCCTGCTGCCTGCTGTGCCATGAGCAATAAAGTCCTTTGTCTCCATCTTCCGCCAGCACCTGTGAAGTGGGGCTGGCTAGACGTGCTAGCCTTCAAGCAGAGTGAAATCTCAGATCCTGTCATGGTTCTTGATATCACTCACTTTCAGGGAAGAGCAGGAGAGATACGTATTAAGGAACAGGCCTTGTGCTAGGTACTCTGATACATATTTTATCTCATTTAATCCTAACAATAATCCTGTGAATTAACACTCTTATTGTTATTGTTACCATCATAAGATTATCACCATCACTTCATAAGAGAAAAGCGAAAGGCAAAAAAGTTAAGTGATTTGCCTAAGGATACAGAGCTAAGGGAAGGATAATTTTCGACTCCAAAGCCTTTTGAAAATAAAAGAAAGGGATGATGTAGTTTCCCCCATTTTGTGGTCCCAGAAGCCCTTTGGGTTCTAGTTCACTCAAGGCCAGGCTTTAATCTCTCAGCTGCTCAGTCTTTGCTGAGCTGCTTCCTCTGATGCCCACTTCCTTGAGGAGTTCCAGAAGCTGGGCTATGTCTGAAGGGGGACCTGAGGATATCCCTCCGCTTCCTGTTTTCTGCAGCACCCACGATCACCAGCCCGCCATTCTGCCACTGCTTACCCACAATATCTTCATAGGCATTCTCTTCTAAAGTGCTTTTGGATCCAAACTTGGGTTGGCTCTCAGTACCATTCTCAGTGGGAGAAGAGGGGTACAGGGACTGGAGACTGGATGCATCCTCAAACTCAAAGGATTTTCTGTGGATAACAAGAGTATGAGTCATTCAGGCTGAACTAGACCCCTGCTACCCTGTCAGGGAATCGCCATGGGCAACAGCAAAGACTGGAGGTCCTCTTCACAAAACCAGCTACAGAGCAGAGAGTCAAGATGGATCCAAACTGACCATCCAAATGAAGAGACAGATGGTCTGAAAGGCCCCAGCCTGGGTGCCTGCAAATAATACCAGTAACAACCATCACAGCCGAAAAGGATGCTATGTGTCAGGTGCTATGTGGGATGTTCTACCTGTGTCATCCACTAATCTTCATGCTGCTGCTGCTAGGTATTGCGCCATTTTACCACCGAGGAGCTGGAGGCTCAGGGAGAGGAAGTGACAGAGGCAGACTCACCCATGCTTTCTGACTCCAGGATCTGAGCCTTTGCCTTGAGCTTCCAAGCCCTGGAGAATATTTTTTTGGAGAAGCATCTGTCATTACCACAGGAACTGAGTGCCTAATCTGCCCTTAGAGTCTCACATCACGTCTGCATCCAAGCAAGGGCTCTGGCACTAAGCAGCCACTAAAGGCTCAACACTGGACGGATGATGCCCAGGGCTTTTGGGGGTTGGGGAAGCAGCTAGTGGTGGGCGGTTTGCTGAAACAGGAAGGGGTTGAGCCCTTACAACAAATCACAACACTTCTGAGGTGGAACAGGAGGGCAATTTGCAGCCAGAAGCTACTTCCAAGACCCAGCTTCCCTTTAGCCAGTCACCTACTCCTTTCCATCCCCTCAGTCACCTTCCCCTCTACTAAAGAACTTCAAAACCACAGCTGGTTAGCCTCTCAGACACCCTGAGCCCACAGTCCTCTCTCCTCCTCTCCCTCATCAGGGGGGTTTATCCCTCATCTAAGGCTTGGCCCCAGCTGCATCCTCTCCCTCTCCAAAGCAGGGCCCTCCTGGGGAGGGAGAGAAGGCAAGGCACTGACTGAATCCCTCCTCTCACCCATTAACACTTCCCTCTTCTTTTGGGTACCATCAGACCTTTCAGCCAATGCAGTCTTCTCTCTCTTGTTTAGTGAACAACACCCCCTGAAGGCCCTGGGGTGCAAGTCAAGGACTGAAAGTGTCCTAAAGGCCATGGCTTGTTCTCAGCTTGCCTGGCTGCTCTGCAGCCTCGACACAGCTGGACACCTCACACTGGCCCTGTCCTCCCTCCCGTCTATGACACAGTCCCTGAGCCCCTCCTAGCTTCCAACTGCTTCTCGGGCTCCTGGGAGGGAGCTCCTTTCCCACGTGCCTTTTAAATGCCAGGATCTCAGAGTTCTGTTTTCTGGACCATTTCTCTCACTCTGCACTTTCTGGGGGCCCAACACTGGCGACCATCACAGTGTCTGCCATTTCTAGCATGACGACTCCCAGGTCTCTGTCTCTGGCTCAGACTTCTCAACCAGTTAAAAACCCAATGGCTGAGCGCAGCTGTTCTTGAATGTTGGCCACAGACCGCTGTTGGTCTGAGACCAAGCTTTCACCGACGTATAT